TTCCAAGATGAATTAAATCATTTGTTTTGACTATTTTTTCTTTCATATTTCAAAGAAATATGAAAAAAATATGGATGGGTGGGTGTATGCAGCATATGTGTAGGATGTCCAGTTTTATTTTATTTTGTGGAGTGTGTTCTCTTCTGTTTTTGTCATTGGTTTGTGCTTTGTTTCATGATTTGAAGTGATTGAATGTCTTGGGGGGAGTTGAGTTGGGTGGGGAGGGGGTTTGGATGCGGGAGTCTTGGTTGTGCCTTGTGAACGCTGAAAAGCAGCAAATAAAGTTTTCTGTTCATTCATTCATTCATTCAAAGAAATAATAACCATAAGGCCTCAGAAAATTCAACTTAAAGACATTTTAGAGATAAATACTTTGAGTTAGGGAGTTTTTCAATGCATTGATTCTAAGTGAATTCAGACAGGGGCTAAAAAAAATTTGACTTAGGGAGGAATTTGACTTGGGGAGGTTTGAATTATTGAGGTGCACCTGTATAATGGCATACATGAAAGAATCCTCATCACGGCTTCCAAAAGTTTTGGGCTTTTGTTCAACTGTGGGCAGGGAAGAAATCACTTGAATTCTTCCTCACCAACAGAAATCAGGTGTCTTAAGAACCTCCCCCATTCTTCTTTTGGTGGAAAAGTTAGAACTGAAAACCCGAACATGAAAAGCCTACAAACTAACTGAAGTGAAGTACCTGAGCTAACCATCCTAATGGAATCATTTTCAAATAGGCCAGTGATGCAGTGAATTATATCTAACAGCCAAATGGTAAAAAAATGAGTGGCATAAAGAAGCTCCTCCTGTTTTTCTGGGAGCTGCTTAGTTCTCATCCAAAACGTGTGAAAGTTGTGATTCCTCTGGTTGTAAGAACACCCAAAGAGGTATATAGGTTATACATAGGCAGCATTTCTTGAAGAGAAATAACTCACGGTATCCTCCAGCAAACATGGCACTCTTGTTGTCATAGATGAACGTGTCCCAAAACGCAATTTCATCAAAGAACCCTCCTCCAAAAAGGGTTCCAGCAAAGGACCCGCTGTCTCTGTGACAGCCCAACATGAGGGTGGGTGGCAAAAGGGCTTTCTTTGCTGTACCCCCAACAGCATTAGTTGGAAAGTTCACTGCTGCTTGTTGCTCAACATTAATGAGAACTTCCAGTTTGCCCTTTTCGGATCCTTGGGGTCTCAGCCATCGAAATGCAATGTTGTTCCAGGTGTCGTTGTAGAGACTGGGAAGGAACACTGATTCCCAATACTGGGCACCAGTGCTCACCAGGACTCCTATGAAGGGTCCTTCCCACCACAAGTGGATCCCAGGGTGTCCTTGTTTGTCTCCTCCTAAATTAGGAATATACACAGTTATTAGAAATAAAGGAGCAATTGATAAACAGGGTGCGCAAAAAAAACAGTATGCCCAAGTTTGACTCAAAGTAGCTCATTAGCAAATTAAGGTGTGGCAATGAAAAGCTAACACTAAATGAAAGCTTGTTTGATTTTCTTGCAAATGGTATAATTTCCATGTTCCAAAAGGTCATGGCATGGTCACAAGGACCATTTCAATGAAAAACTTTCCAAAAGAAATTAACAGGCAACTCTTTCCACTAAGCTGCCATTCTCAAAAGCTGTTTTCAAAAATGGTGCAGGACCAGTCATTTAAACAGCAAACTTCATGTTGCCTTCAAAAGGGTGCAGACATTCCCAATATGTAGGGGGTTTCAGTTTTCATTCTCACAGGGCAAGTGTGAGGAATAAATCCTCAACAAATAAAGGTTGAAATTAAGTTGAGATATTTGAATAAATAAAACAAGAGAATTTGGTTGGGCTGCAACCTGGATGAGAATTCACCCTATTATAAAGTTGGTTTAATACTTCATTGAGATTTTGACAGGTATAGCAACAAGACTTTTGCGCAAAAATCTCAGAGTAACAAGGCACACAAATGCTTGAGTTGGACTGTAACAACTTTGCTGATTTTGGAAACCAAGAAGACTGTCCTTTGAGGATGATCATATTAGCAGTAAAAGGTCCAGCCTTGAAGGCTTAGAAATATCCATGAGAAACCAAGGTCTTCCGAGGTTCTCACAAAGATAAAATGAAAGTAGAATATTACTGAGAATTTGGGTTCTCTAAATCCGGTGTGTCAAATTGGAATGGCCATTAGAATATTTGCAACAGCAAGCACAAGGTGTTCAGTCTGCTACCAGATAAATTTTTAGTTGAATAAACAATTTGAAGAGAATCTCTGATGAGGAATCATTTCCTCCTAAAAGAGATGATATGGAGGGTCCCCTCTATATATTTGGTGACTGTACCATATACAATAATTGATTTAAACCCACTGCCTTGTGTAGATTATTAGGAGTTTGTGAGGGTATTTGCAATTTGGGACTCCATTATATTCTGATGAATTCTTCTACAACCTGTTCATACACATTTGGAACATGAAACAACAAAGAAATCAACATCTGGTTTCAAGATGATGAGGGTTCACTTTACCATATAGGGGTCAAACTTGAAATATTGAATAATAACCCAATACAGTTATGGCATCTCACCAGTGCTGACGAGAGTTTCCCTGGCATAATTCGCATTGCTGGACCTGGTGTAATACTTGAGATACACATCTTTCATCGGAATCTCCCTCTTGTAAAAAAACGACATTGAAATGCCGTTTGAGTCGTTTGAACATGTGGATGGGTCCGCGATGCATGTGTAGTTATTGCGAAAGAAGTCATTGTCCGTCAAGCACTGAAATATATAAAAATTCAAAACTTAATCTGAAAACATCCCGATAAACGTCATTAGAAAAAGCATTACATAGCCCTTGAAGCTGAAATGTGTTTAGATTCTTCACCTTGTTTGGCTCATGGGAACAATACATAATGATAATAGGAGCAATGTCTTTCGAAATTGCGCGAGTTCAGGGCGCCATCCAAAATATATTCTTCGAAATTTGTCAATTGCTGATTTTGCCCTTTTGAAATTAAAAACCGCTGTGAAATCTCATTCAAAACAAAGCAATTTTTCAGGACCAGTAAAATATAGTTCGTCGTTATATGAAGAAAATTAATGATGAAAATTGATTAAAAAAATTGTTGGCTGTTTGGACAGAGACCTAAAAACCAATTTTTTGTGAGTGATTATTCATTTTACTGCAAATATAATGTACTTTTTGTAAACATCAGTATTTGGGGTCTGCAATAAGCTGCACTAAAAAATGTGAGTCTTCAACAGAAAAATTGTAAATTTACCATACATCTTCTAATAGAGGCCAGGTCTCTACTGAGCACCCAGGCTCAGACAGAGTTCAAGGGAAAAAGTGCCAGTCTCTATTATAGTAGCTGGGTGCCTCACAAGGGCCAAAGAAGGGATTGAAAGTGTAAAACAAACGGATTTTTTGTCCTTTTTCCATCACAGGTACTACAATAGTATATTCCCTTTTGCCACTTTATGGGAAGATCCATGTCTGGAATTTCAGCCAAGAGATGCCACCCTGGAGCACTCTTTCACTTGAAATTCTTTAATCTAAGTGAATTCCCACCCAAAGTTCTCAATAAGCTTTTTCAGTGGCATTTTCCCACCTAGCTGTTCTACTTGTTCAGTTGCCGGCAAACATACTACCAAATGGATTATTTGATGTTGCTTTCAAGATTAAAGCTGCATAGAAAAGCAAGAGAAGCATCTTAAATCAACCTTGTTTTGAAGGAAGAGAGAAATTGTTGGAAGGAAGAACTCATAGCAATGTGAAAGATGTGGTGGAAGAAGATGATGATGGAAAACTGGAAAACAATGAAGCTTTTACTTTAGAATCTGGCAAAGATGTGTGAAAGGTTGAGATGAGTGACAGTTCCATGAATAAAAATAAAGCAATTTACTGCATCAAATGTTCCCCTTTTTAGCCAATGATATATTGTACCTCTGTTTAGATTTTTCAAATAATCTATTTTTCCCCAATAATTGGATTTTAAAAAATGACAGTCTCTAAAAAAGATGCCTGGGGGACAGAGGCAATATTTTAAATAAATTCCTGGGGCGTCCATTAGAAGATATATGGTTCTAAATGTTACTGTGAATAAGGGTTTTATGATACATAGCTGATACTTTTTATTTATTTTATTGCCGCTTTAAAGTAATTAAATGAAATAATGTGGACAGAAATTCATCAAGGGAGAAAATAAAAACATTTGTATGATAAAGTGAACCAAGGAAGAAGAAAAAATTCACCTCTTTGTCCCAGTCCCTTATTTCCACTGCTTCTCCAAATTGACTAGGCCCATTTGCCACAACAGGCACAGCATTTGTTCCAGTTAAACTTGAAGCGTTTGCCAATGGCTTTCCCCAGTGGTACAGGGTTGTTTCAGGAAATCTCACAGCTAAATAAAAAAATTTTTTTTTGAGAACACCCATTTAGAAAATATAATAATATAATAGGGACTTTTTTCAAAGGATGGATGGAATTTTGTAACAAGAAACATTTGAGTCAGGGACTTTAGGGACCAAAACAGATAACTGCATTCAAAAGTTTGTGATATCAAAAGTTTTTCAGGAATTTTTAGTTTTTTTTAGAAATTGGCCCTTTCTTCCTCCAAGTCCTATTTTTCCTTTGATAAAATTTGAAAATTTTCCAAACAAAATATCTCCAAGTGGAGAAAGTAGACATATGATGTAGTATTCTTTGTAAACATGCAATTTTCTTCAAGTTACAGTGTCAGATCCATTTACTATTGATTCAATCTTTTATAATCCTCTGAAAATTTTATCTGTTATTCTTCTCTGAAATAAAATTTGAAAGAAAGAGTTTCATCAAAAATTTCAACCAGCTTGAAAACCTTTGAAAAAAGGTGAGAAATTCCAATAAATTTGATGGAACTGCGGAAAACTTCTCAAAAAAAGGGAACAAGTTGCAGGGAATCCGGAAAATTCCTTAGGCATAGATTTTAAAAAATTTTCAACAGCGTTTTTAGGGCATTTTTACTCAATTTTTTGGTCAAATACAGTAATTCAACCGCAAAATTTTAAGGATATTTTACAATTTAAATGCCGTGGATTATGCTGTGCAGGAAGTCAATATTTGACAAGATTAATCATTCAGGAAACCATATATTTTCTAGTTCAAGTTTTTTAAATTCAAATTCCATATTATTCTGATGAATTTTTTATTTGCTCACGGTATGGAGGCAATGTTGGCACCGGAATCCTGACCGGGAATCCTGCAAAAGCGCAACAAAAATCGTCATTCCAAATCCTTCACTACAGATCACATCACACACACACGAAAAAAAGCATGCAGAAAAATAAACTAAGGTCCTCCATCAAACCGTTCATGAATAAATTCAATCAGGAACTCAAGGAGGAAACCTTGCATGCAATTGTATGCGTTTATGCTCCCCCCAAAACTCCTTTTTGCTGATTCGAAAAGATTATCTCCTTTTCCACTGCTGCCAAAAAAAAAGATCTCCAGCATGATGGCAATTTTCCATCACTGCCAATCGCTGAAAAACCCTGCTGACACATGGAAAGCCTTTTGTTTGACCACTTCTTCTATTTTCCAGTTGAATCCAATTCCCATGATTTCCTGCATGTGAACCAAAAAAAATTTTCTTGACACAAAAAGTTGTGCAAGAATTCTGAATTGATACTGGCTGTTATAAATCGGACGAAGGGCCCTTTATAACATGTTAAGGTTTCTACAAGCCATTTCCATGGAGTTTCCTGGGTGAATTCTATGATTCAGAATCATAGCAACAAACCCTTGGTTACCCCACAACGTTCCTGGTTGCCTTGGACAGCTGGGTTTGTTGTGGTGTGCAATAAGACAACCCTACAGTGGTTTTTATATTCGAAGTGCACCAAGAAGGGGATTTTCATGGAACTTTTCAAATGGTTCAATGATCTTGGTTTAGAATTTGTATTCGAATCATTGCTTGATATTGATGTATAACCTTCATTTGTCACATGTCAGTATCAACAGGTTCCAAAACAATTTCCCACATATTCCTCAAATATCCATTCAACACATTCTGGAACATAATTAGATAATAATTCTCTACATGTGGCATAAACAAGAAAATACATCAAACTAAATACAAGTGTATGAATAATGGATTACCATAATTTTCTATAGTAGGGCAAAGCTCATAGCACAAGGTAATTACCAAGTAAAGATTGAAGCACAAGGTGTTTAGCCTTTTCTCCAATGCTTTTTTTTTAAAACTCATGTCAATTTATCATCATGTGTGAAACGCAGAGCATTTGCTACTTTCTCTCTTTTTCATCCACATAGGAAAGTTTGGCATCCCATCTCAAAACTGAATTTGCTGATGAGCACTGATACTATTGTATTTATACCCAAGTCAGTCATGTGCCCTCAAGTAAGACATGTACCTTGATTAGTTTAAGGAAGTTGAAAAAAAGTTTCCTCAATTGAAGGATGTTTTGTGCACTTTCTGAATTCTGAAAAAGGGATTAATGATAAATACTTGACCAAATTTTGTTCATGTTATAATTCAGTTCTCAGCCAACAGAACGAGTACCGTACGAGGGTTCTAACAAAAGTTCTCGGAATGAAAATGAAGATGGCGTCTAATTGAGCTGGAAAAAAATTATTCTTTAGTGCAACCATATTCTTTGGCACAAAAAAAATCAGCCCAGTTTGACAATTTTTTTCAATTGTTTTCAAAATTTACCCTGGCAGAGTTTTTCTATACACTCAACAGATGAGGCACCCTTCCTGCAGCTTTTTTGTTTTTTTGTGGCTCAGTTTCCCCCTCAGAATTCTTGAAATCAACTTGATATTTTCTCTAAGGGTTGCCTCCAGGTCATCTAAGGCAATTCCGCCATTTTCATTGACAGCCGCCGTCACAGCCGCCACCGTCACAGCTATTTGCTAAAATTGTATCCCTGAGTAAGACACGCACCCCTATTTTTAGTGAATCTAAAACCATAAAAATTCAAAAATACAAACAAAAAATTTGACTTCAGGCTTGAATTGAACAAAGATCTGATGAATTTTCAATTTTTTTCAATACAAAAAAGCGTTCTTGTTATATTTGTTTCAAATTTCTCCATTATAATTAAGTATAATGCAAACATAATTCCCTAAAACTTCTTGAAAATTTTGTACCTGCTTATGATGCGCACCCCTTTTTTTCTTCTGAAATTTGGGAAAAAAGGTGTGCGTGGTACTGGAGTAAATACGGTATATATTCCTTTTCAGAAATATTGTAAATCATTTGGCAGGTTGATTTAATTTACTTCACAGCATCAGCTTCTATATCATTTTATTCAGTGGATTAGCTCAGGTAAGTCTGATACCAGGAAAATTAGTTTTGGGGGTTGTATATTTGACTACGCCTTTCAAATTAATGGATGGGCGTTTATTGGAAATAACTTCTGTGGGCAAGGGAGAAATCAAATGAGTTCTAGGCTGGCCCAATATTGATTGAAATTTTGAAATTGAGGAAGTCATGATGAATTCCTTAGCTTTTAAACAGGCCTGGTGCTCTTTGCCAAACTTGATTTTATCAAGGCTGACAGATGAAACAGTAACAAATGGTTGAATAGGAGAACTTAAATTTCTGCATTCTGCACATATGTCTGTAAATTTTGCAATTTTAATTTCAAAAATATTCGAGATTTAGAAAATAGTTGGTTAAAACAATTGAACGATTCTTCAGCTAAATTGCACTGTTAGTTTATACATATCTTAAAAGATCATCAATTTCATCTGAGGAGTAAGTATTTTTTCTGAGGTTGTTGAATGAGGTAAATTTGTGAAACCCCTGGATGAAATGAACATTTATATGTTCTGCGGATCAGTGTTCTAACAATTGTACTACTGACCATAAAAATCTGTTCTGAGAGAAAAGGGAAATGCATAGCTTTGACATGAATTCATGCATTCTATAAATTTGAAAAATATTTAATGCCCCATCACAAATTTGTGATGAGTCAACTTCATGTATGGAGAATTCCATTCTGCAATAATTCATCAATATAGCACAAATCCTTTATTTTGTGGATAACCTCAGCATATTGCTCATTTGACAAAAATGTATAATAGTATCCTAAAAGAACCTTCATGCTGTGATGGAATATTTCACAGAATCCCAGGTGTATGTTTATCATCAACTATATATAGCAGCTTTTGTTGCAGTGAAAAGGTACAGGTGTGTTACTTTGGTCTAACTCTCAGTAAAATCGAGTTTCTCTTGGCCATATTTCTCCAAGCCGTTGAAGGTTGAAATCAGAGCAAAAGTTGCAGAAGGTATATTACCTAAAAAGTATAATAATCAAACATGTATCTTTCTTTAATTACACATCCATTGGGATGGATTTGAAGAACTTGAATGACTGCTGTAGTACATATGTCAGTGCACTGCATAAAAAAGCTCAAGAGAGATGTTGAAAATGTGTCATTAAATGCAATGCACGACTTTTGCAGGTTGAATAAGGCAAAATTCCCCCCTTGTTAGCTGTGATGCTTCAGACACTTTATACCTCCTGAAATGCCTTCATTAGACTTTACTGCAAATGAGCTCCTCCTGCAGTGCAATTGACATCCAACAGGTGCCGCTTGTTTCTTTCCAAGATTTTGTTCCACAGAAGTTACCAAGGGAGTTTGAAGTTGGAGATAATGAATTTCAATTCCACCAGAAATTCCATGTGCTGGTTGCAAGAGCCAACATTTGGCTCAGGAACCACACAAAGTGGAAGGTGACTATTTCTTTTAAATTATTTGTACTTTTTTAAATATAATGTACTTCAAATTTTCATTAATTTTTATACAATTACTTTGTCAACATTTCCCATAGGTTTTTTGAAATTAGGTATTTAAATGTTCAATTATTTGAAATAAATGACAAATTCAATGAACACTATTTAAAATTATTCACATAATTCTTGGAAATCTTTGCATGGTGTTAGCCTTGGTTGTTCTTCATTGAATTTCAAAAAATGAACTGTAGATTTGATCATAATTGAACAGGCTCCTGATTGGACTCTAACTTGAGAATGTATTTTTACAATTTAGGAAAAAAGTAATAAAAGCCTTATGAAGCATGCATGTATTCTGTGGACCATTGGCAGCATTCTTTACAGCTATGAAATGAGCATGTGATTTAAAAATGTAATTGTGAAAATGCTATTAGAATAAGATGTTTCCAAGTTGTGTGCATTTTAAAATTAACCTCTTCTGCTTGGGACTCATGAGGATGTGGTGGATGAGTCAGTTATTCAGGCTGTTTCAATTGTTTTTCAGGCAAGGTTCATTGAAGTTATCAAAACAAGAAGTCCACGATGTTCTGATGAAAGTCAAACTTCAGGACACCAGTCCTGTTTCACTCTTTTGCCTGAACAAATCAGTTGTGTCAAGACATTGAGGCTGTGGCTGGTGAGGAATCCAACCAGAGAACCCCAAGTACTGGGCCACTTTTATGCCTCATGTTCTAATCCTGGGTCATCATTGGATGTTAGACATGGAAACCTGTCCACTGCAGTATATTCATTGAATGCTGTTGCCAGAGAAAGTGGCTTGCATGGGGATGTAAGTTTTGTCTAGAATAAGGCTAACATGTTTATAGAAGGAAACAAATGCTTTAATTTCATCAAGAGAGAATAAACTCAGTTTTTATTCATTTCACACAATATTCTTCATCATAAAAACGCATTGCAACTCAAACTAATACCAGCAAAATGCCTTCAGATTTATTTAACTTTTTCCAGGTATTATCAGTGGTAACAGATTCAGTTGACTGGAATCAAGCATCTGCAGTAGATGCAACTGAATGCTTCAGAACCACTGTTGAAGCAAAAGGATCTGCTCAAGTTATCAGGGTATTTTATGAACTTGGGAGAGCACCACTGCAAGAAATTTTGATCAAGGATTTCACTCAATTCCACTTTTCTCCAGTTTCAAATCATACACTGGTTTGTGGAAAATTCTCTTTGATGTAATGGTGCCTGAAACTGAGGATTTCATATGTTTCTAATGCTGTAGAATTCTATCACAATACATCTTGTTATAACAAAGTTTTTGTTACTGTATAGCACTTTTGGCATCAAAGAAGCAAACCTTTCTGTGTAAACTTGATGTTAAAAAAATACACAACATTACATTTTTAAAAGTTTTTTTTAGAATGTATACCTTTCTTTCAAATAAACAGTCTGTTGGAAGAAAGGTCATCTATATAATACAGAAATAAATCATGTTTGTGTCTATGTGAAAACTGTGGATGAACTAATAAACATCAGGTTGTAATTAGGGTGACCATTCTTGAAATTGAGCAAGTTTCAAAACTAATCTGAAGAAAATCCACTGCTTGTTTTTCTCCTTTTTAAAAGAATTTTTACTGTTTGAGGCATCAGTGCATTGTCAAATGTTTTCTTGTTCTTCATCCTGAAACTGTAATATAATTCATATCCTCTCTTATTTAGGAGGCTGATTGGTGCCAACAAGCATCAGAATGGCTATTTGGTCTGGAAGGTGATGAACAATCTTTCAAGTTGATTACATGGCAAACATTGACAACAAAACTGAAAAAGCGGTCAAACCCATCAGATTTCATGTCAGTGTCAGTACAGAGGCTTTGCTGTATTGGAAAATATGGAAGCCAACCAGAAATCCAGACTTGCAGATGTTCCTTGTCCCAGCCTTCCACAATAAAATCTCAGACATTTGTTCCAAAGCTTCTGAAAGGCCATAAAACCAGTCCAAAGTTTGAATCAGCCTTTGATGTATGGGCAGATATTTCTAGGGTACTGAGAAGGAAACAAGTACAGGACAAGGTGCTGGGGATTGAGACTTTGCCCATGGAACTGAATTCTGAAACCTGGGAACTGAATAGAGACTGTTGTGGTTCTAAAGATAAGTCCAAGAGCCCTGGGATTTTCTTCCTCAACACAATCAAGGTTTACTATCTGGACAATGGATTTGAAGTTGCTGGTTCTGAAACATCAATTGATGCTATTCCAGCTGGGGCTTGGAAAAGTTTCTGCGCATTAACCTGATTGAATTTGTCCTGCTGATGAATTTTCAATGAAAAAAAACATTGACAAAAACCATGAAATGAAGCTTTATTCAGACTACTTTGGGCATCTCAAGCATGTCCTTGGCAGATCCCTGAAGACCATTTCTTTCTAAATATTCCTTGACTGTTGCTCTGCAAGCCTTGTTAGCTTCTCCCTGTTTCACATCTGTCACTTTGCCTCCAGCATCCACAGAGCTGCACAACAAAGTGTAGAGCTGTTCCTCTGGATCATCCGTTTGAGGGGCAAAATTGTTGAAAATGAATAAAGATCCAGGAGGAAGCGACACCTTTATCTTCTGCATTGGATCTTGTGCTTCAGGGTTATGTGTAGGTGTCGCTGGTGTAGTTGAAGGGATGACTTCCAGTGACTCACAGAATGATTTCAGTGCTGCATGAGAATCTGGAGAATCTGGAAGAAAAGGCAATATGTTGAGCCTGAAAATTAAATTATGTGCCCATGTTATCTCACCTTCAGCAGTGTTTGTTGCTGACTGCTGAAGACCAGAGCTCTGAAGAGTGTTAAACTGGCTGCAAAGCTTTTCAATGTTATCATCAAGCACTTCCATCACTTGGTCATCTGACCGTTTCCCAATCATTCCACCAAGCTTTCTTCTCCATGATCTCTTGTTATCCAATTTTATGTCTTCTATTGGTTCTAAATTTGTGTCTTGAAGATTCATCAAAGAATTTTGTTGCCCTGACCATTTTGAGGTACAGAATGGAAGGCTGGTGTTATGCTGTGAGGCTAGATCACAAATTCCTTCATCCACATACATTCTTGGAACATTTGGAACTTGTTTCAAACTGGAAGGGAACATTTTATGTTCAATCACAGAGATCAAGGTCAAGTCTCAAGAGGGCTTCAAGTATTATTTTGAATTGATCAGGTGCCTCAAGAAAAGAAGCAGCCTTGTTGAAAATAAGTAAATAATTAAAAATACTCACCTGCGCACATCTTTGACTTTCAAGCAATTCTGGTTCTGGTTGCAAGGTTTCCCAATCAAGGCAATGAAAACATTTTTTGGCAATGGATTCTTTCCAAGGTATGATGAATACTGAAACTTCTCCAAGTCTTCCAAAGAGAATGTGCTTGACAACTTCTTATCCTGTTTTTTCAGTTCCATTCTATGTTTGTTTGAATCATATTTCCGGTCACAAGGACATGTAAGAAGAGTGTTCCTAAGTGTTTCCAATAGACTGCGACATACTGGATAATGGACTCCATATTGTGCACATAATGACCTCAGCTGCCTTTGAAATGATGGACGTTGCTGATGAATAAACGTCATTGTTACAATCCAATCTGTGAAGTTCAACTTTTTCTAGACAAAAACTTTCCTATGACAAATATGGGTACTCTCCTGTTATCTCAGCACCTACTTTCCTGGAATCTCTGTACCTTCCCTCTGACCAATTTAACCTGAACTAACCTAACTTCACCTAACCACCTCCCAAAATCAGTTTCTGCTTTCTTTGGGTTTCTGCTGAAACTGATTTTGGGAGGCGGTTAGGTAAAGTTAGGTTACATCAGGTTATGTTAGTTAAAAGTTATTTGTAACTAACATAACCTGACCTAAACTAACCTTACCTAACTGCATCCCAAAATCAGTTTCAGCAAAATGCGGAAAAAGAAAATTCAGTTTCTGTCAGGTCATTGTGATTATGAACTTGTCCTAAAGATTTGTCTGGATGGTAGTGTGGTCTAGGAATGAGGTACTGAGATAACAGGAAAGTACCCACCCAAATATGTGGTACTGTACATCCATGATCATGTCCCTTCACACTATCACAGTGAAGACCAATGTATTTTAATATTTTAGAAGTTGAAGCTTTTAAGTTGAATCACTTATTATAGTCAACATTTTTTGCAATTCATTGTGCGCATTCTGTTTCAGAAAATGCGCCTTGATGCATTTAAAAAATGTTGAAGAAGGTTCTAGGTAAGATAGGTGAGATAGAAAAGTATGTTTTTGACCACAAACAATAATTCAAAGAATGTCGCCACTTTGCCAGTGATAATTTCCTGGAATAATTTACACTAACTAGGCAACATTTAACAACCCAGAAACTCATCCTCAAGTCAATTTCATCTTAGTTGAATTGAATTGAACAGCAAGCTTTATTTGCTGCCTTTCACCATTCACAAGGTTCAAGCAACATTCCTGAATCAAAATTTCCCTCCCACAATGTGAGAGCAATATTCTCACATCCAAGCAACTCCCCCCCCCCTCCTGCACATCAATCCAAACACATTCCATCATATTATAATGGAAAACAGCAAAACAAGAGGTATATAGATATTAATAGAAAATAAAATACATCTCAAAATCTACAATTGCACAAACTGATGTAAATATATATACACAATATATATGCAATAAAATCTGCAGAAGATTTTGTCCAGTTTCTCAAGTGTAACATCAATAAAGGCAGAGAAAAGATCCTGATCACTCAATTTTGTCATGATAATTGTGATGTTGTAGACTCAAGTACATTTCTAGCTGCTCTTGCTTGTGGCCATACTAAACCATTACTATTTGCATCATCTAACATCCCATTAATACATGATGCCATTGCTATTTTAACAAATTCATGGCACTTTAGTAAAAAATTCATCCAACTCTCAAAGGTTTCTAAGTGGTGTAACTCCTGCAGCATAAATACATCATTAGTTTGTGCATCACCAGAGCACCTTCTCTTCTCATGTCCAGCATTTCAAAGAGATAGACATCAGCTTATAAAAGATTTAAAATTACTGAAATTCAATGAAGAGACACTTTCAGAACTCAAAGGATCAAGAAAATTTTTTGGCCTTGTATGATTTCTCATCAAAGATTCTCTCTAAATTGTTCATTGAACTAAAACTCATACAGAAACAGGCTGAAGACCTTGTGCTTTAAATAAACTTTTACTGCTGCTTTGTCTTCAATATTGGGGATGGGTGGGTGTAGGCAACATACGTGTAGGATGTCCAGTTTTATTTTGTGGAGTGTGTTCTCTTTTATTTTTGTCATTTGTTTGTGCTTTGTTTCATGCTTTGAAATGATTGAATGTATTTGGTGGAGTTGGGTTGGGTGGGGAGGGGGTTTGGATGTGGGAGTTCTGGTTATTCCTTGTGAACGCTGAAAAGCGGCAAATGAAGTTTTCTGTTCATTCATTCATTCAGATATACACTTTTTTCCTTTATCTGATAACAAAAACAAGATGTCAGGAATAAGAATTGCAGAAAAAGGCAATTATTAAACCCAACTTGAAGCACAAGATGCTTTGTTCATTGCTCCCAGGTAAGGTTTAGTTGATTGAACAAGTAGGAGAGAATCTTTTATCAACAATCATACAACATTAACAGTTGATCTTGGTCCTCTAAAATTTTTGAAAGAGCCTTTTCATTGAATTTTAGGAGTCCCAAATATTTTTGAAGCTAATTCCTGTAGCTAAAGAATGCTGGGCATAAGGAAAGAAGGTTCTCTTGTGTGGTGCATTAACCAATGTACTGTATTGATACTACATAAATAACACCACTTAGACACCCTGGAAAATTGGATGAATTTTTCATTAAAATGCCATGAATTTGTAAGAAGAGCTATGTGATCATTAACCAAGGGGATGTCAAATGATGCAAATAGTAATGGTTTAGTTTTACCACATGCAAGATTGGATGTTTTAGTCTCTGTGATTTCAACTGCAGGTGAGGTTCAACTGTTTGCTTTGGGTTGAATGCAAACACTTGATCAAGCTAAGTA